AATGCCTTCTTACAGCTTTCTTGATCATCAACAACTTCTTGTTTGGTCCAATCCCAAAGAGACTCCTTTTTAGTCTGGCAAAATCCTTTGAAACCAACATATTTCTGTGTTCACTTTGTTTTTTAAATCTTCTATTTGCTGCAACAATCTTCCTGGACTCCAATGGGCAAGAAGAGTTCTCATTGATCCTTTCCAGCTCCAGAACTATGTTTTTCTCAAAAAAACTGAGCATCAACCAATGCTGTAGTTCTTTCATTATCAGCATCTTCTGGTCTAATCATACTCAAGTCATTATAACTCTCATTAGTCACAGGTAGATGTGTTCGAAGATCTCCATTATTCGCCCTTACAGCCATCTCGCATTGTTCCTCTAACTCTTTAAACATTAGTCAACATTGGTTAGGATCAACCGAGCAGGATGAATTTTTGGCTTAGAAGACACCATATGGCTCTGTTTGATGCACATAATTGGAATTGGATTTTGGAATTCCAATTTTAGAAAATCCATGTGCAGAGATTTAAATATTTTGCTTGGATGGAAGTAAATTGGAATTGGAATCAACTTGCTACATGATCAAACACTGTATCAAATTTCATCTTCAAAACAATATCTATAATAAAACACTAAATCTTCTTGTATAGACAGCAAATAGAAGAAAAAAAATAAAACAAAAAGTAAGCAAGTGCGTACGTATGTATGTGTGTGAGTGTGGCTTGCAAGCACCTGTAATTTATTTATATGGAATTCAGTCATTAAAAGGTGAGGACATGAGGCCCAAGCCTGCAGTGTACACACCATATTTACTACAAAAAGAGTAAATGTTAATTCCCATCATGCTATCTTGAATAGAAACCCCTCCTACAAGAGAGGTAGATAGCTAATTAGCTACTTCCCATCATGGTATCCTAAATTGAGTTCCCTCTTACACAAATATAATTACCTGGCCATCTGCCGCACAAGTGACAATGCTACGATTACCAGTATATGGAATAATTTTTGCTTGGAAAACATTGTTGGTATGCCCCGAATGAAATGAGAGTTTGACATTCCCAGCATCCCAATCCCAAAGAACAACCAGCCTGTCATCAGATCCTGAGACGAGGATGTCACCTTCTGCATTAAAACTCACAGTATTCACACAACCTCTATGCTTTTCAAGTTTTTTGTAGAGATCAAGTCGCAGCACAAAATTCTGAACAGAAAAGCAGCAACAAGTTAATGCAAAGGAATATGGAATCTTATACAGTAAGACAATACAAAGCAAAGAACAGTATGTAAGGAAATATCCACTCATCACACGGTAATTAAACCAATATGTAAGGAAATTATACAATATACACTCATCAAAGAGTTCTTAGTAATGACTCTGGCTATTGTATCTACCATCCTCTCAGCTATTTTTTTTCATCCCCCTGCATTACTTGACACCTGTACACCTGATGCCAAAATACCTAATGCTATCTGTTTAAGGTTTGGATGATGTCATCAAGTATTTTTTAACTTGACATTGAATCTACGTAAAAGGCCATTTCTCAGTGCTGATAGCAGCTATGTAAAGAGATTATAACCATGCCCTTTGATTAAAACCCATAATACATTGCAGAAAAAGGTTTAAAGATAAACTTTGTTACTTAATAACATTTTATAGGAAACATGGCATTCATTGTGTGCTTTAGCTTCTCATTCAACATGAATGAGCAAAGAGAAAAAAAGAAAAGAAAAGAAAAAATGTCGAAATCAAATAGAAGTGTCCTTCAAGAATCCAGAGTATCGAAGTCTTATATGTGTTCAAAACATTCACTTCATCCATTAAGGAGAGTCCATGAAAAACCGTCTGATCAAGTAAGCAGTAAGAACGTCATGTCCATGAAGTAAAAAGGCAAGCTCAGAAAATGGACTAAACAATATGGTTGGATTATTTTTATTTGATGAAGCACGAAATAATGCACTCCCAATAGCATCATGTTGTCCACGCCTTTGTCAGCTGCTCTAAAATGGTGAATATTAAAGCAAAGGAAGAGGAAATTTGAGATGATACATTTTAAATACTACGAATATTGCAAGTGCAAGGTGGGTTTTCCTTTTTTTTATTTTTCTTTCTTTTTCTATTGATCGGTAAGGTGGTTGAGAATATTTCAAATTTTGTCTATCAGATTTTGGTTGTGGAGTCTATGGAGATAGAATAGAATGCACTTCTGCTTCCTTAACAACCCTCCCCAGATTATTAACAACAATGCAGTTAAATTCTCCTTGCGCAGCACAATTTAACCCCCTAATCGGGATTCACCCCTAAAACAATTAAAATCATACATTATAAAAGGGCATTGACTTGTGTAAAGGCCGAACGTGAAAATGCAACAATCAGGTTATAAAATTTTGCTCTTCATCAGATTCAATTTTTCTCCTTTTCCTCTCCTCCCTTGTTAAATCTGTTTTTATCTTTGGTTTAAGTTAAATTTGATATCAAATACAGAGATTCTACTAACAAAAATAAAACATCAGGCTTCTGCACAGACACAAGACCCATCATCCGATCCAAATCACCCATGGATGTCAGATGAAGGTTCTTTAATAATAAAAGATTAATCTTTTACATCAGCTATACAGACAGAGAGAGAAGGGGGGTTAACAATGTTATACTCTGAAACAAACTGAAAGGGCCCCATCAATGCAAAGCACGAAAGAAACGCATATTGATAAAGGTGAACAGGTTATTAAATGGGAGTACCTCAGAGCCTCCAACACGATGAGCAAATTTTCTGGGTGAGAGCTCGCCGACCTGTCGTTCATATACATCCAGGAATTCCTTTGCAGGGTTTGTCTTTGCCCTCTTCAACATCCTGCCCATGCTTCTCTGTGGCGATCTACTGGCAGTACAATCAATTGATCGACTTCGGATGATCGTTTCAACAATATATAAGAGGTATGGAATTCCTCAGGTCGAAGGCATCATAGACGACACGGATTCGCTGTGGCATGGAAGAACTGCACAAACAGGTCCTCCTCCTCCTCCTCCTCTATCTCTCTCTTTCTCTAGAACTTAGATTTTTAGTGAGACAGTTTCCGTCAAGCTTTGTATAGAACTATCGATAACAGAGACTTCCCCCTTTCCTCTCTCTCTCTCTCTCAACTATTGTCGTTCTGTCTTTCTCTTCTTGCTGACTATAACCAAGCATGTCGGGAATGGCCACGTACATCGAATATTTGATAATAATCATAACTCTATTTCGGATACAAGTTTAACCAGGATGAAAAAATGTTTAGTGTCAGGTCAATCGCGGGCGGATCTGCTGCCAATAAAAACTCTCCCAACACTGCACCAACATAATCTGTGGCCGCACGTCTCATATGAGTCCCAGTCTTATGGTGAGATGTGCGGACACAGATTATGTTGGAACCGTTTTGAAAGTTTCTAAACCAATTTTTTTTTTATGGGTGGCCCTAAATCAAAACTGCTTTTGTCTTTCCGTGGATGAACAGATTGAGGTTAATGAACATGAGTCATGGCCATGCTCGACCAAGATGGGCTCGGGCCAGCCGGCCACGTACTAATCTACTATCACTCATTAGGGAACTCGGATCGGATGCAGAAAAATTCGCATCTGATATGATTAACTTACATCCAAATTGATCGGATTTAAAGACTCGAATTTGAATTCGAATCTGTTAGGATTCGGATTTAAAAATATCAAAAAAGTAAAATTTTATTTATTTTTCAACTTTTTATATAATAAATTCATATAAATATAACATATTAAATTTATTATATATAAATTCATATATAATATAATATATAGGATATATTTTTATAAATTAAATATAATATAAAATTTATATATTAAAACTAATAAATATTATAATATAATCGGATTAGATGGGGTGTGTTTGTTTGTGATATAAACGCAAATATGTACTCTGCATAATTATCTTATTTTCGGTTAATAAATGCAAATGTGATTTGCATTTTTAAACTGTTTTTGCACTCATCTTGTTTGGCCAAAAAATGTTTACGATATAAATGCAAATATGTACTATGCATAATTACCCTATTTTCGGTTAATAAATGCAAATGCGATTCGCATTTTTAAACTGTTTTTGCCCTCATCTTATTTGGTCAAAAAATGTTAGAGTACAAAATTATGAATAGCACAAAACGTTACACTACCTATGCTCCAATTCCTTAAACTTTGGCCAAAAAGCAAATCAATGAAGAGCACAAAATTGAATCCAAAAAATAGGTATAGTAATGCTCTCTCCTTAGAGTACAAAAATGTTAAAAAATACGCAGATTCGGCATTTGCATCACAAACAAATGGAGCAATGGGGTCAAATCCAAATCCAACCCGATTATTAATCGGATGTAGATTCTAACATTTGAATTCGATTTGATTACATAAATACATCATCCGAATCCAAGATAATCGGATCGGATGTCAGATCGGGCCTCGAATTTTCAGGTATCATTGACAAGCCTAGCACTCGTACATCAAGAAGAGGCTAAACTTGGGCCAAAACTTACACCAACTTTTTCTTAAGAGTGTAAACAACACATAAACTAATTTTCAATTATTTCTTGTTATATATAAGCAATAAACAAATAAAATAATGCAAAACAAACAACAAAAATTCCATTTATTTGATTAAGAGTGCAAACAACACATAAACTATCAATTGCCCTTCACATAAAATTAAAAATAATATTAAATTTGACACCTAATACATAAAAGTTTATATGCTTCCTGATAATATACGGGTTGGGTTTAGCCTAATACTATACGTGATATGGGTAGGATAGAAATTGCCATCTAGCTTCATCAAATAAGAAATTCTTTGAGTGGTCACAAACAATGATGCCCATTAAACCTTTAGCGTTGGTGATTGTTGCACCTACATTCACCTTAATTGCTTCAAGAGGTGGCATTTGCCAACAAAAAGTGATAGACGGAGGATGATGAACAACAGGACCATGACTAGAGGCCTTGCCACAGAAATGATATGATTGACATGATAAGGAGCTTTTTGTGATAACTTGTATATGGTTAAAAGTAGTTCTTTCTAAAACAACACTATTCCTGACTAAGCAAATGTTCCATATCATTATGACCCTCAAAGAAAATAACCATAATCAACATTATGATTTTCATCGTCAATCTGTCACCAATACACAAGAAAGTCAAGAATTGAATAATCAGAGAATATTGTGGGACGAAATTGTAGCATGGAGCCGAACCAAATTGGAATTACCACTGGCATGCAAGCATAAGATGAATCAATGTTTCCGTACTCGCTACAAGAAAAAACAACCTAAGTCAGCAATCACAAAACTGCCTCATTCCCAGCGGTTCTAACAAAAACACTTAGGGGGTTCTAATCTTCAAATGCGACGGCCAGAACCACCAGGACAAACTTAGATTATGTTTGGTTTGAAGGAAAATGTAGGGAAAGGAAGAGAAAGATAGGGAAACCTATACAAGATTTGTAAATGTTTTCCTACTTTTCTTTTCTTTTCCTTCAAACCAAACATAAGAGGAAAGCAAAAGGAATAAATAGAAAATAGAGAAGAGAAACCGACCACTGATATTAACCTCCTTTCTTGCTTCTTGAAAAGCTACCAATGAACATTAATGAGGCACAGTGTTTCATCAGTCGCCTTTAAGAGCAAACCATTTTTATAATCATTTGTAGTCTAAATATCTGGTCAACACTGCTTAAAATTCAGGCCAAAGAGAACATACTTTGGGAAGATAGTCCGTTTGTCTAATTTCCTTGAGCATCACCCTTTTTGTGTAGGAGGTCTTTCTTTATGATCTCATTTTGCTTTGCCTAAAACATGTTTGGAATGGATACAATTAGCTTAAGGGGGTAAATAAAGAAAGAAAAAATAAATAGAAAAATGAATGCCCAAGTAAATGAAAAAGCCCTAGTTGATGCCACTGCACCAAACTTTTTGACAAAGAGCTAAGTAATGAGTTCTTGGGCACAACACTTTTCTTCCCATACAAATGCTTTACTCCCAGATCCGAATATCATAAACCACACTCCTTACTTATATCCATCTACATGACAATTAAATCACACCTTTTAGCAAGTAGTGAAAGGCCAAGCAATATATTACATCCTTTTTGATGAAGCGCGATCTGACTGCTCCCTATTGGAGGTGATTTGGCTTCCAGTAAACGGCGGACTAGGTCGATCTGCAAAAGAAGAATCAGAGAATCCGGGGTTGTTTGCCCGGCGAGGTCGCTCCGATGCTTAAGTTAGTATATTTGATTGCGAGCTGAAAAACTTAAACTCCGGGCAAACAACCAAGGAGCTAAGCTTTTCATCTTGCAATCAAGTATACTGACTTAAGCATCGGAGCGACCTCGCCGGGCAAACAACCCCGGGTTCTCTGATTCTTCTTTTGCAGATCGACCTAGTCCACCGTTTACTAGAAGTCAAATCACCTCTAGCAGGGAGCAGTCAGATTACGCTTCATCACTTTTTTATTTTTATTATTTATTTATCTATTTTGTTAATTATTGTACTCTTTGTCTTACTAATAAGAAACATGCCAAAAAAAGGTTTAACAAAATGCATTTGGAACAAGAGAAATGACCAAGGAAAACCATCTTATTTTTAATTCCTTATAAATTGTTTCAAGCTTTCACTTGGTCAAATTTTGATGACCAAAGAGTAGGATTTTTTTTTTAGCAAAACATTAAGATAGTGACAATTATGATCACTAGTTAAGAATACAGCACAAATCACTATGAAACATGACTCTAGAGAAAGTGAAAAATTGGTCATGAAAAATGAAAGCTTCAGTCACCTTGCTTCACCTTAGGGCTTAAAGGCTAACCTTCATTATGATGAGTATCAACCACTTGTAGTAGCAGTTCAGGGTCTATGACTTCAATCCTACAAGCTCTATCTTTATGTGCTTTGCATCAGAAACTGAACAAGAAATACCATATGAAGCAAAGATAGGTTAAAAAAAAATACATGGAAATGGCACTAATAAGAAAAGTGATAGAAAACAAGATTTTAAAAACCTCATAATTCAAGATAATCTTAAGTGGAGGCTACATACCGACAAACTAAAAACCATTCACCATTGCGACAGATTATCTTAAATCATACCAAGTTTGTTATGAAAAGAAAAACCATATATTTGATCTAAACTTGCAGTATATCTTCTCAATGTCTTTTTGCAAATACCAAACTCTTACTTGTTAGCAAAAATTATCTATCAGAGAAAGAAGAGCTACATCAATCACTCCAATCTCCATTTCTATCCAAGAGATCCTACAAGAAAAAGACCATAGAAAGTATGTTGGGCTGGCTAAATATATACTAATAAAATAAGTAAACATATTCAACCAAATTTCAAAATAAATTTCATGATTCATCTGTAAGGGACATTAAACGTATACTAACATCAGTCACTCCAATACCTTTGTACCAAAAGGCCTATTCTATAAACCAATAGGAATCAATTGTATCTTCTGCAATACATGTTTCTCGAAAAGGTATGGAAGAAAAATTCAATTAAACAACCATGTCAAATAATTTGTTGAAGCCCAAACGATACTAGGAAGAGTAAAGGGAAAAATAAAGGACAAAAAGTGGTGGACATGACTACTAAAATTGACTAAGACCATTTTGCTCAAAAAATAGCCCCTGGAATTCACAAGAATCAAGAGAGAAAAGTGAAGTGAAATTGTGAAAATTGAAATCTCTTGATAAGTTGTACACAAAATATTTAAATTTATGTTTAGTTATATCCATTTCTCAAACACTCATAGATAAGTAAACACTAGAGAGAGAGAGAGAGAGAGAGAGAACCAGCTAACTTAAAAGTAGATTGGGTTGAAGGAGGTTGAACTGTATTCTTCTTAAATGCACCACTAATGGTTGTACTATTATATTGCAAGAAGTACTTAAAAAAAAAGGATATGGAAATTAAGAATTAACGGAAAAAGTCTGTACTGTAAAACAATTCAAATATAGTAAACGAGAATTAATTTGGGCTTCACATTCCTCCTACTTCACAATAAAGGCTGAAAACAAAGAATGATGAATATGAAGTCTAGGAAATCTTCAATTTCATAGCGACAGTGGGAGAACTTCTTTTATTGGTACTTTGAAATATTTATAGAATTAACAAACTTCAACCTAATATACATGACCTCAAAGAAGAAGGTGGCATACATTGAGAGCAATATCTTGCTGCCTAAAATTCTTCATTTCCATCACTATAAAAATAATCATACCTAATTCCATTTTATCCTGAAAAACGATATTGTAGCCATTAAAGTATAGAGATAGGACAAAATAATCCCGATTAACCCATTGGATCCTTTAATTCCCATGTGAAAATATAACAAAAAATTAAGCTCAGTTCATTAAGTAATTAAAACAAACGCTATCTTACCTCAAGGGGACGAAAGGAAGTGTTGGATACCAAGAAAATGGCAAAAAATAAGGCATTCAACAAGTCAGGTTTGAACATGGTGGGATGAAATACAGGGAAAATGAGAAATCAAATAGAAAAATATGGAAAATGCATGCTTAAATATATATATATATAAGAAAATAAACAGAGCAGGTCGTTAGAGGTACCTCATGTTCAACAGGATTGATCGAGCACTTAGATATCTCGATGGGCCACTAACTAAAATCCTCCATGATCGTCTGTCACTAGCAACCAACTACAAGAAAACAAGGGTGATAACCCTCCAGATATGCCACCTTCGAGTCCCTGTTTTGATGTTAGGATGGCTAACCCAAACTTGTTGCTGCAAGAAATCGTTGGGCTGTCTCGCCTGCTTGAGCACCTAGCATGTCCATTGAGGTTGTTTCCAATCAAATTCCTGCACGATAATTAAAATATTTTCCAATAGTCAAAATATTGGAAAACGAAAGCAAAAGCTTGAGCACCTAATTTTTTTTCCGATGGCATAACCCAGAGATGGCTTCCAATCAAACTTGAGCGGGATCAATCTAAAATCCTAAGCCCTTGATCCAAGTGAAGAAGAAGAAGAAGAAGAAGAAGACGACATGTTGATAAAGGGAATTGAAGTGTTTAGGACCCAAGTACAGGGTAATAATCTGAGAATTTTCCCCCCAAAAAAATGAATGGTAGGTACCACTTTAATTTGAATAAATTTTTTAGAAATAGTTCACGACCAGTTCAAGAGAAACCACTGGGTTACAACACAAAACTGCCGCCCCGTCTTTTATTTTATATTGGTTTAGTTCTTAGCTGGAGGTCATATAAGAATCTTGTTTTAGATGTATCTATCTCACCTGACACCGGGTTAGGCCATTTTTCTTGTAGAGGCTTAAACATAAGCCATTATCATATCAATACTCTAAACCACCGCACATATGGAACATCGATTGTGTTATGGTGACCGATATTTTCAATGTGTGACTGGATGAGCGTGGCCAGCAGATCTGAACTCCCTGCACATAAAGTTGTAAAGTGGGTTTGATGGATGGGCTGTCCCAGCCTACATCATCTCAAACCATGCATGGCTCCCCTCTTAAGAGATTTGTGTTGAGCATACATGATTTGCCAAGTCCCACATGCCAACACAACACAACATGCTATAGTGTGGACACAGAAGAGAGAGAAAAAAAGAGAGTTGTATTAGATTTTTGGTGCAAGTAAATGCAACTCATACTATTTCCAATACCTTAGGTTACAATTGGACACAAGTTTTCAAGTTCAGAAAAGAAAGGAATATATCTAAACTTGGGTTGAGGCCTCGGGTAGTTAAAGCCCAACCCAAGCCCCTTTTACATTGTATGATATACTAGTGAGGACCCGTGCAATGCACAAAATTTAATTATCAAAGAAAACTGAAACAATCAAAACTTATAATTAAGAAAGGAATGCAATGTTGTTTAAAATAATTAATCTTTATTTTAGTAATTTGTTACGAAAATAATTTAGTAATTTAGGATTAATTATATTAATAATTTAGTAATTTAATATTGCTAATTACTTAATAAAATAATTATTTTTTTCATATTATCTATTAGTGTTCCATTTTATTTACTTTATTTTATTAATGATTAAATGTTATAATTTTTGTTAATATTACTTAAGCATTAGTAAATATATAAAATTAGGCTATAGTCATAACAAAATTAATATATATAGATCAAATTTTTTTAGTCATAATTAAATTAATCTAAACCCAAGCTCGAGGTGTAAGACTTCAGGTTAGGCTCGGGTTTATCCTCATCATGACCCAACCCTCCCAAGTTGCACCCCTAAGAGCAATGTGACATTTGTAATTAGGTTGGATCCCATCCAATCTAATTTTGATAGTGTATTAACAGTTTTTAAGGTTGTCTGGCCTAATAACCTTGCCGACACCTTAAGTGTAATGATATTTATCTAGGCTTAGGACATGGATAGGGTTGCCCGTGTTAATTATAAAATAGTGATTTATTTTATAAATTAAATTATTTTATTTAATTTTAGTTATTATAAAAAATATATAATGCATCTATCTATATATTAATATAAAACTTGTTATCTAAAAATTATATAATTACCATATATGCATTTAACTTCCATGTTGAGCTTAGGGGTTGCTTAATTTGGGCCCTATCTGCCAAGGCCATCATTGGACTCCAAAAATCCAATACCTAATTAGACTTTGAATCCCATAATCCCACATTTAGATGTTAGAACTTGCATTTGATTAATAATCGGAGTGGATGCAAATTTAACCTCATCTGATCTGATTAAAATCCATGTCTAATAAAAAATTATTAGTATATGTATGTAGTAGAATTATGTATAAATATAGATGTTATGTGTAATTATATAAAGTTTATAATTAATAAATTTGTATTGTATATTTACATGCATTTATTATACACATATAGTTCAAAAATAATTGGTTATTTTACTTTCTAATTTCTGGGATCATTTAAAACACAATAAGATTGTTATGGATTAAATTTAAAATACAACATAATAATTAGATGTGGATGCAGATCTAAATATTTCATAATCGGATGTTGATGCAAATGTAGTTGCATTTGATTTGAATCTGATTTGCTTACAGCCCTAGTGCCTGCATTATGTGTGGGCTTGGTGAAGATTTGAGCTAGACCTAGCTCAAAAGAAAATAGTTGTTTGAGCCTAAAAAAAAAATGCAAGATTGGGCTAAGTTAAAAATGATTTGTTACTTCTCATTATAATTTTAATTATCCTCTCAATACTATTTTTTATTAATTTCTTAAATTTTAATAGTTGACAGATAAAAACTTGCTAAAATTTAATATTTTTATTAAGTTTAGTAATTTTTTATTAAATTTAGTTATTAGGTTACAAATTGTAATTTTTTAACAATTAACCAATTAAATAGAATTTGAATATGGATAAAAATTTGGATGAGAGTAAAATTCTCTCTTTCTTTGGAATACAAGAGACTAGTAATAGAATATGCCTATAGAAATGTGAAAATGGTGGGAGTTATGTCTTAAATTAACTCTCTCTCTCTCTCTCTCACAAACACATACATTATTTTTAGGTTGGGCCTAGACTTGTTAATGGGCCAAGTAACCCAATAAGATCGGGCTCAAGCTTTAAACATCAGGCTTGGTTGTTTTTCAGGTCGAGCTTGGGCTTTCCCAAATAAGCTTGGCCTAAGCTCAAGTCGGCCCAATAATATTATATATAGTAAAAAATATAATATATATTAACAATACATGATATATATATTATATAATATTAAAATTAGTAGTGACAAAAGTATTATATATTATAATATATAAATTATTATAAAATATATAATATATGATTAATAATATATAATTAATATAATATATAGAATATTATAAAATAGAAGACAAATCTATTTTATGGTCTATTTGGTTCATAGATAGGATCGGAATTGGAATCCTTAGGAATCAGAATTAGAGTCCCTATTCTTGACACCTGTTTGGTTCATTGGGAATCGAAATTGGATTCCAATTGCTGTTGTTTGGTTCATTTGGAGTTGGAACTAGAATCAACTAAAAATTCTCTTAATATTTTATTAGTATTTATTAGTCTATAATAATTAATATCATAGTATTTAATTATAATGAATATTTTATATTAACATTTTATTTGTACTTAATATCATTTAATTATTAATAACAATATTTTTTTATTTTATTATTTAGTAGTATTATTATAACTAAAATTATTTTGTCCTTACCACAAAATGTATTGCATTAATATTTTATTTATACATTATTATTATTATTATTATTATTATTATTATATATTTAATAGTTAATATCTTTGCCTGATGTTATTTTATTATTCTCTTCTTATTATTTAATAATATTTTATTATTTTATTAATATTAGGATTGGGGGGTTTGTATCATGAGTTCTTTAGTCCTTAAGGAGGCCTAAAATATCCAAACATCCTTACATCCCCCTCTCTCTATTTCTACCAATCTTGAGCAGTACCTGTACTTTGGCTCAAGTGACAATTTGGTCCCCGAACTTTAAAATGTAACAATTCAGTACCCAAACTTTCAAAATGTGACAATCCAGTACCCGAACTTTCAAAATGTGACAATCCAATACTTACCGTTAATCAGTTGTTAAGTGACATTTGAAAAGTCAAAAATGTCCTAAGAGTGCCATCTAATTCTATTTATCAACCATCTAATCACTTAACGGCTGATTAACGAACTGGTTAACGGTAGGTACTGGATTGTCACATTTTGAAAGTTCGGGTATTGAATTGTCACATTTTGAAAGTTCGGGCATTGGATTGTCGCATTTTAAAGTTTGGAGACCAAATTGTCACTCGAGCCAAAGTATAGGGTACTGATCAGGAATTTTCCCTATTTTATATTTTTAAAAACAAAAGAAAATAAGAAAAAAATACAAAAAAGAAGAAAATAGATGGGTAAAATTATTAAACTACCCCTAATAAGCTAATTAACAAATTGTACCCTTACTATTTAAACATTGTCTTAAACTACCCCTAAGTTTTTTAACAATTGATAGCTCTACCCATACCGTTAGCATCCACTAATGTCCCATCAAAATCCGTACACACGTGACACCACATGATGTATAATTTTTTTTTAAAACCTAATACTACCCTCCATCTCTCTTCTCTTCACCTCCGGCCTCTCACTCACTCACTCACTCACTCACTCACTCACTCACACACACACACACTCTCTCTCTCTCCTATTCCATCACTACTATTGTTGTTGCAGTAGATAACCCCTCCACCTTTGGCCTCTCTCTCTCTCTCTCACTAAAGAGCTTCAAAAGATTTGCAACGATACTCCCAATTTCCTCCCCAATGGCATCCGAAAGTTTGCCCTTGCCGAAAATCTCCAGAACAAGCACACCTATAGTCTTTTCAGGATTGCTTCCCAAAACGTCCCAAATCGTTAGATCTAATTCCAATAAGCTTTGGAGAAAGGTAATGATGGACTCCACTCGTTGATTATGGAAATTGTTGCGGAGAAAGTCACTTCAGGCCTTCAAATTCCTACTTTTACGAAGCTTCCCAAGAAAGTTGGTATTCTCTCTTTGAAAGGAGGTAGGGGTGCAAATGGATCGGATTCTAATCCGATCCAAATTCGAATCCGATATGAAATTAGCGGATTAGGACACTCCCTTCATACTTTCGAATAGGGTCGGATCGTAGAATTGGATTTGTTTGGAATTCGGGTCGAATTTGAATCACCCTGCTTTAATTCGAAAAGATTAGATCCTATCGAACCCTTCACATATATAATATTATTTTTTTATAATTATTATAAAATAACAATTGTACCATATTTTAATATTTTATTTTAAAAGTAATATAATGCAATTTAATTAATTACATAAGTCTAAAATTATAAATTTAAAAGTAAAAACCCTATCGATTGAACAAAAGGAGTCCAAAGACCCATTCTCTCTCTCTCTCTCTCTCTCTCTCTCTCTCTCTCTCTCTCTCTCTCTTCCTCTATTCTAACTTCTAAGCCTGAGAAGTGAGAAGAATCGAAGAACCCTAGCTGTCGCACACAACTGTGTTGCTGCCTATCGCCATTGCCGATGATTGTCGTCGGTTGCGACTTGCCGATCGGTTCAATCTTCACCATCGCTAGTCGCCGGTTGCCTCGCATAGTCACATTCAAGTCTCAACAACGCTGTCAGTA